CAGTGAATTCTCTGAAAGGGCGGTGAAAAGAAAAACAAAGAACCTGAAACAAGAACAAGTGCAAGCCTTAAAGGCTTAGATACAGCCTTCCATCTTCCTTCCAAGTTACTGCAAATCAAGGTGTTTCCCTCCACCAGCTTGGCCTTGGCAGCCTTGGCGCCATCCGCGCTGGGTCCCAGCGTCTCTTCGCCTTCCTCGCCCCAGAGGCACGCATCCAGCGCGAACTGCGCCGCCTCATCCGGTGCTGCACCGGCGAAGGCTTCGGGCGATCCGAACAAGGCAGGGGGTGCAGGCGGAGGGGCGGAGGCTCAGCGGCCAAGAGTGGAAGAAGTTTGATCCGAATCAAATCATGAAGATGATGAGCAAGTGCAAATTTCTCAATAAGTGCCTTGATTAGCAAGTCTTCTTGCCAAAGCCCCAAGGTTTTTGGGGGTAGCAAAAGCTCTTTGCTGGCATCTGATGCCCACGTTGGGGCTGTGCAAGATGGAGAGATTCAGGACTCCTGCATCTCAAAAAAGCTTGCATTTACCGTAGCTCCAATGCGTGCATGGTCAAGCTCGGAGGTGCATGAGAAACAAGACCTACTGATTATAGTATATCATTCTGGAGCCGGTCCACCGCTTCTTGTCTATAACTCTTGAAACGACCCTTTCAATCTACGAAGACAATTGGAGCCCGAAGGAGGAGTCCAAGTTCGCGTCTCCTCCTTCATCTGGGGGAACAAACGATCGAACATGGCGAAAAGTGCAAACATCTGTCACCCCAGAATGTCACCCTGGTCAAAGCTCAATCCCCACAGTCCACATCCGTTCAGCTGCGTTTTGCTGGATAGATCAATCAACAGAAGCGTTCACAAACCACAGGACCAATGGCTGATGTGCGCATGTTCTCTTTGATCACCATCTTGTCTGTACTTGCCCGCTTGCGGGTCGGTGATCCGCTTTCCATGTACAGCCAAGGTGTACAACGGCCAGGTGGGGGCCTTGTTTCCCGGTTTGGAGGGTCTCATTGGAAGGTCCGGAGGCTCCAACGGGAGTAAATGAAGCTACCACTGCCACAACTAGTGTGATAACATACATATGCCAACATACCAGGACCCTCCAAGGGGTGCCCAATGGAAGCCTATAGGTAGTGTGGGGTAGTTCATTGGACACCCCTTGGAGGGTCCTGGTATGCATACATAGTTATATAACATGTCAGGTGATTCAATCCCCACTCAAGGATGCGACCAACTTAAGGTTGACTCTTGAGGGCAAGTCAGCAAGGCCACGCTGAGCCTCTCCCGCCTCTCGATAGAGGCCACGTTTGTACAAGGAGATGACAGCTTTGGTGACCTGCCACGTTTGTTGCACGTCCTGTGGTGGTAAGGGGAGCAAACGAAAACCCCTGCTGCCCTTTCCCAGCATATTTAGGGTGAACACTGGTGGAAGCTTTCGCACGTTACAAACGCGGTTCCGCCTTAGATGCAAGATCTTTGCTCGGTGGTTTTGTTTGTGAGCAAATCTTGCAATGAATAGCATATCTGAGATACCTGTATACAAGTAGCAAATTCCACCTCTCGAGCCGGTGTCCTTCTCAATCCTTCTCTTTTTGTCTTCGCTTCCGCAAGCTTCGTGCCCAAATCCGCTACCATCCACCGTCTACCACCAAGTGCTAGACTCTATATATAGACCTAAACAACTTAACTAATTAGTAAAATGCACACACATACAGCTCAAACAATGTCAAAAATATGTGATACACCCAGGAAACTTGACATGGAACCTGAAAACCACTGGGTTGTAGAGGGAAATAGTCTTCCAGTCTGGTCCATGCCATCAGGTTCCATGTGGGTCTCCTCTTCCCGGGTGTATCTCTCATGTCATGGTTCGCCCTTCGCCGGAAGAAACGGCTCACGGCGACCACGGAAACATGACGTGTGCTACATCAAAATGTTGAAATGATTTGAAGATGACCACGGAAACTGGCTATAACCATCTTTCACAAGGAGGAGTTATCCTTTTGGTGTTTTGGGTTTGCGACGCCAGTCCACTGCCAGAATGCTCTGGACAAAGGTTCCAAGACCAAAGCTGTTGAAACCAAGTTCCCCTTCCCACCCACTTGTCCACACAACCCCGGCCATCTCACATCTAATCCCCCTCCCCCCCAAAAAATGAAGCTCCCCATGGCCCATGGCCTCATGGAAAAGAAAAGGAAGAAATCGCGCGCGCGTGCGCATTTCTTCAAAAGCCCGCGGCTGTTGGCCCGTGGCACCGGCCTCCTTGGGTGAGCGCAGCACCTTGCGCTTCAGCAACTTCGGGAGGAGCGTCAGCGCCTGACGGCTCCATCGATCCGCATCCGATCTCCGGCTCGGCCGGGGGCGGCGGGAGCCGGTCTCCACCGGACCGCCGACCGCCGAAGAGAAAGGTGGGGTGAAGTCCCACCCGGTGTGGGGACATGTGGGGACGAAGGTCCAAATCACATGCAACGTGAAGAAACGACCAAAACGCTTTCGGTCCCAACTGGTGCGATCCCAGCCGAAACGACGCTCCGGTGAAACGGTCACGACGCACCGATCGGTCGACCGGTCGACTGGTCCACCCCTTCCGTTGACGCGAAGCGATGATCTCTGCCTCTGCGTTCGGCACGGATCTGGAATTCAGGCGTTTGAGCAAGGCTTGCGCCTGGCGCGCACCGATGGGTGTGACACACCGGATCCAGATGGACCGGGGTGAAAATCCACAGCGGAACAGAGAACTTGTCTTGACGAGATGATGCCCAGTGGTGGCTTCAGAGTTGCAGGCTTCACATTTGGCCCTGCCTCGGTTGTCAAAACACCGAGCGAAGAAAGCAGAAAAACCGAGCATGGAAAGACGGCTTGTTTTGGCCGTTCTTGGTATGGGTGTCCATCTGCCTGCCCTGGCAACAGCTCTGTTTCTAGCTTTCCGTGACTACGCTCTTGCTTGGCTACAGATCAAGGATGCTTCTTCAACGAAGGGACGCTTTTTGGGATCCTCCCTCCCAACCCAAGTTCGCTACAGTACTGAGTCTGAAGGTCCAAGCGCGCGTTGCGCATCTCAACGAAGGCGTGCGCGTTGTGCGCGGCATGTCCGCGCCTTGACACCCCCTGTGCGCACTCCTCGCGCAGGGCCTCATGCGAGATCTAGGGCTCCAAGAAAACAGAAAACATCGACTTCGAGGTGGAAGAAAAACATCGACTGCGTGGGTGAATGATTTGAGACTTTACATGGCAGTTTCTGATCATTGCTTTCTCGGCTTTTTGACCCCTTTGGTGGATACCAAAGACATTATAGCAGTTCACCAACTTCCGTGGCTGATGATTGAAGTAGCAAGCCTCCTTGGCTCTCTTTACAAGATAGGATATGACATTAATTATGCCTCACCATTTTTGTCCTCCAATCTCTGCCAACCACAGCAAGCCTTGACCCCTCCACGTAAACGGCGCGGCTCTCCCCGCTCGGCCTGGTGGTCGCCACTCTCGTGTGGCGCTTGTGGCGCTCGGCGCAACCACCGGAGCATCCAAAGCCATGGGCCATGGGCGAGAGTTCTTGTTCGCTCTGTTTTGTTCTTTTTCGAAGTTCCATGGATGGCGGATTTGGGAGGTTCAATCCTGAACTGTGTCGGTGATGTCAGTGGTTTTTCTTAGGTTGTTCTTCTTATTTTTTTTTTTGGCACCTTCTATGTTCAACCCCGGTGGTAGCCGTGATTTGGGGAAGATCCGAAGAAAGAAGTGATATTATCTGATGTGCACCGCAACGTTCGAATGTCCGGAAAAAGAAACGTTTGACAGGTGTCTCGTCCATCAAGGGTATGGCTTGGCTGCCCAGTGGCAACAAAGGACAAACCACTTCCAAATCCTCATGTCAAAAAACCTGAGCGCACCATGCCTGTTCTGATGCCTTCTGACCGGTGGAGGGTAGATCGGATGCTATAAACACCCAGTGAGGAAAGAAGAGGGGCATTTGTACCTCAAAGCGGTTACAAAAGTTGACGATGCACTTCACCTTGCGGCTTCGGTTTTTAGTTGGAATGTGTCCCAATTTGTTGCAACACCGGCAAGTGAAGAAACTCGTGCCCCAAGTTGCGTTTTCCTGCCACATGCGGTGCGACGGCCAATCGTCTGCCTTGCTTGCGGCTGCCACGTGTATGGTCGATGTCGATCCAATCTGAGCCAAAAATGCTCCAGTTCAACAGCCCCATGAAGTCCGTTGATGCAAAGGTTGGGATTGCTCGAACTGTCCCAAATCCAAAGTGGCAGCACCAAAGTGGTGCCAGGGACCTGACCACCCGCTGCAGGAAATGCCGACCACCCACAAGAACTACGGTCACGTTCTCTCCGAACCCGTCAGGTGCTGCGTCACTCACGGCCGTGTTGGGGGTGCGGATGGCCGACGGACAGATCGGCGGTTCCTGAAAGCCATGCGGTTCCTGAAAACCAGGGCTCTTCTTAGAAGGTGAGTTTCTGACAACTGATGCCTCAGCCCCTCAGTAGAGGTTCAATCCAAGTGGATGAGAAGTCTTCAGAGCAGCTATCCTTCCCAAGAGACCCGGGGATGAGATCTCTATGTTAAACGATGTTAAACGAACCACCACCCCTGGTTGGTCGTGGCATAAACGATTTGTTGCTTTGGTGTGCTTTTCTTTCCACAACGTGAACACCACTGACTGAGCATGCGTCAAACACTGGTAGTGCAGCGGTCTGCAATCAGCAGAACTACAACACCTACTGCATGGCCCTCTGTTCCAGATTTCACCATCTATATACACCTCAACGTCGGGGAATGTGAACCACTCTTGCCATACCTGCAAGACCACACCCTCAAGACCACGAAGATTACGGGACAGCAGTTAAACTAGTATAGGGATCCTGAGAAAAGGTGGATGTAAAGGGGAAAAACTTAAACATGTTGTTCCCTAAAACAGGTGGCTCAAGCTTCTGCAGGAGGATCTTCTCCTCGGCCCATTCCAAGGTCCCCCGTCGCGCGCCGTTGTCACCTGGCCTGCTTCTGCTTGGCCTCTGCATCCGCCTCCGGATCGCAGAAATCCAAGGGAGGAAAAAGATCTCAACACAACCAGAACCATGCTGATAGTCCAAACTAGTCCAAACACGTGGTTCCTGTGATAGTCTCATGTGGTACCATGCTGAAGGTTCATGTGATAGTCTCCCCAAGCTAGTCCAAACACGCAGGCAGCGCCACAGCAGTTTTTGGCCCAAGAACAATGCACAGAACTCGCTCATCATCGCGTCCACACGGTTGCTAGGTGTCACCCTGAGATATCATGTCACCATATGTCATACTTCTCTTGTGCCTAGAGGCCCCATTTTCTGCTTGAAACCAACATCATGTCCTATAGGGGGACCCCACTGTGGTCCCCCCACAAGCTAAGGACGACATCGAAACCTCCAAACCTTCAAACGCGAAGAGTTTGCCAAGTGCCCAACCCCATCGACCCACCTTGCACAGGTGAGCCGGGGAGTGGCTACGCGGCGCTACGTGGCGCTACACTTCGCAACAGCGAGTGTCCGAGTGAAATTGTTCTTTTGTTTCACCAAGGGGACAAAACGAGACAAGTTCTTTGGCAAAAAACAGAAAAACTTCCGTCTTCCAACAGGTTCCCCCACCAAATCTCCTCACTAACAGGTCTGTCCCGTGCAAGTTTGCGGGCAGTTGGTGCAAAGCAAGGCTTCGTTCCGTCTTCCACCGCCTGCAGAGCGGCCTCCCTAGCAAGCTCCAAGCCTGCCTGAGGCGAGCCCGGTGAGGGCGCGCGAGGACGGGTCGAGGAGGGCAGGATCCCAAGACGAACAGCTTTGCATGGATTGTACGCAAAAAAGGCCGGGAATGCTGCAAAGCCATGTGAAAACACCTGAGTCATACTGAGTCATACTGACTCAAGACCATGAATTGACCGCTTGAGTTCCGTACTATGGGATCTATGGGATGGATGTCCACTTCATAGGCAGAGAATGGCACAGAGGTCTTGAATGGTCTTGATGATGGCTCTGCTGTTGCAAGATGTTGGGTCCCAACATGAAACTCCGCGTCTGCGTATGTGTTGAACACCAAAACCAAGTAAACCTGCTTCATCTTCATCTCTGAGGGCCCATCTTTGTTCAATCACATGTTTAAACGGGTTGTTCCACACCCAGAATTGTAGTAGGTTGGGAGTGCTACTGGAATGCTGGTGATTCTCGGACTGAAAAAGAGCCTAAAAAGACTCTTGCAGATATCATTCCATATCCCAAGTTCAAGTCTTTGTCCACTCCAAAAGATCCAAACCAACAACCTACTCCCCAAAACCTACCCATCCGGCGTGACCAGGTCGCGGGAACGCGCGCGCATGTGTTGCGCGCGCCTCGAGCTCCAAGACCTGCGCCTTCAGTTGCGAGACCTGCAGAACGAGAGCCGGCGCCGAGCGAGCGTTGTGGTTCCGCCAATGGCGGGAATCGGAACGGGTGTTGGAGGGGACTCCCTTTTTTGGTTGGAAACAAAACAACACCGGTCGGATGGTTGGATGGATTGTTGGATGGTTGGTCGGATGGTTGCTTTATGAAAGGTTGGTCTCAAAACCACCGGAGCATTATCTTAAGTTCTGGTCACGACACAGATTTGGGGTGCACCTCCGTTTCTTCAGGTCCCTTTAGGCCTCTAAGGAATCCTCCAAACGCAAAACTGGTGCACGACGAAATTCTCTGCTGATGTCCGCAGGTGCAGCAAGTGGTCTACCGCCCCTTAGCCTTAACCACTAATTTTGAGGTCAGGGGTAGGCTTAAGACCATGGACATCCACAGCACGGACACGTCTATGTCCAATGCGACATCCTTCCGTCGATCATCTGGATCCACTAATTAGTCCCTAGGCTTCCTGGCCCACCATTCATTTAATAGGCTGAATCCTGAATCAACTAAGGGTGTTACACTACAAAAACCAGGTCGTTCCCATTTTTTACGGTCTTGGAAGTGTTTAAAGTGAATGTAAATCCATGCATTCCGTCCAAATCCGAGAACTGTCCAAGCTTCGACTTCGCAACCCTCCGTTCGCCATGCCCCTTCCCAAGCCCAGCTCCGTTCTCCAGGACAGCGCCGCGTTCCGCCGGTCCACCGCGGGTTCCGCCGCCGGTCCACCCCCCAGCAGATCCGAAACGCCTCGCTGGCAGAGAGTTGCAACTGCTCTTGGAGCTGAAGTTCTCGTCGCTGGGCCTCCTGCATGTGGCCCATGCCCCCATGCGGTCCGCGAAGGTATTGGTGGGTGTCTGGGAGGATGAAGAAGACCTACATTTCAAGGAAGAATCTTTTCCTGCATTCACCCAAATGACTTCAATGTTGCAGGATCGCAAGGTGAGCAAAAAGGTAGTAGCATCTCAGCGATCACCCCAACAAATTACCATTTGCGAGACAAATCTGTCTTCATGAGAGGGGAAACCGAGCTCCTTTAGTCTAAACCTCGAACCTCACGTCAGCAACCTCACAATGGCTGGGCCTCTCTTGTGGTGAAAAGATGCACCTCATCACCGACGGCATCACCTCGTCACCTATCGTCACCTCGTCATCACGGGTCGGAGGTGAGAAACCCCTCGGTTCCTTCGGTGCGACGGCCACCGAACGGGCCAGCGGAACGGGCCAGCGGCCGGTGGCCATGAGTCAGCCCGTTTCGTGCTCCTCGAGTTCTGCAAACAAACCCCAAACACCCAAACCTCCGACCGTGCACCGAACCGTGCTTCTCAAGATGAAAGACTGAAAGACTGCCCGAACCGTGCACCACGCATCGTTCGACGCAGGACACTCCTGCGCCTTCAGCGCCAGCTCGCGGCCGTGCTCCGCCTGTAGCCCCGCGCTGCGGTCTGAAGAAGCATGATTCCTTCGCTGGGCAACTATATATAATGGAATTAAATGGATGTGGGTTTTCTTTGGGGGGTGGATTTGTGAGTTGTACGGTGATTTCCCCTGGTTGTGAGACAAACCTGGTCGGGTTTCTGGATGCTTGACCGGTAGCAGTGCATGTCCAGACCCTAAAACCGGTTTGGTCGGGCCGCGTGTGGGTTCACATCAACAGCTTCCAAGAGCCTAAGAGGAGGCACGCAGTCCGTCAATTCTCGATGTGTTTCTTTCATTGGGCCTGATGCAGACTAAGCCCCTCAGAACCGGTTGGTGGGTGCATGGGGGGGCTTCTTCAACTGAAACACTGCCCTGAACATCGCTCTGCTCTGAACATCTCAAGTCCAACGAGCCCGGCCTCGACTCTGGAGGCCTCCTTCGCGCCTTGGAGTTCCTGGGCGTGAGACCGGTCCCAAACCACCCCTCCTTTCCTGACCGGACGGGACAGACCGGAGCCGGCTTTTGATAAGGAGATGCCTTTGTTTTTCACTTCGTTGATCCCTTTTTGATAAGGGTCCCAAACCGAGCCGATGCTCCATTTTTGTGGGGGAACAGGGGACCCCTCCTCCTCTGCATTCTGTCATCCGCGCCTGCTGCAGCTCTTGCAGCTGCGCCAGCTCGGCTTCGTCCTGATTCGGCACCTGGACCACCGGGACTTCCGGTGGTGCCGGGGTGAGGACAGCTGACAGGAGTTCCAAACGGTCCAACGAAGGAACCAGTTCTCGTGTCAAACAAATAAGGGGGGGTTCTCAAATTGGATCCTGGAAGTTGATTGGATCCTGGGAGTTGTTTGGATTCTGGGGGTTGACTCGCTCTTTGTATAGTGAAAGAACGCTGATTCGGCTCAAGAGTCGTCTCTCCATGTCTCTCCATGTGCCGAAGTGCTTTGTGACATCGGCTTCCAAAGGGGAGTTTCCAACCTCCTTGGGATCTCGGGAAGCGAGCTGCGTCGCCTGCGTGGCTTGCGAGAGCTCTGCTCGGAGCTTATCCTCAGCGTGGAGGAACGAAGGAACGAAGCCCCCCAAATGGTGATTGGAAGACTTCGGTCCACATTTCAAGACCAAAGAGTGAGGGACCAAAGTGGAGTTGTGTGGCCACAATGGCTGTCTTGGGTTTGTGTCTTGGGTTTGCTTGCTCCTTTCTGTTCATGGGAGGCAACAATGCAGCACTGCTTGTGAAAGGATCCCGTTCCTCACATACTATATATATATATATCATTCTGATAGAACCGCCCATCCCCTGTCTCCTCCCTCTATCTCTTCCTCAACCCCAACCTGGCCACCTCTCGTACCGTTTCGGAGCAGCGCAGGTGACATGACGTTGACGACCCGAAAGGACCCGAAACGACGGAGGTCAGCGTCGAGCGTCCACCGTCTTCTGCAGGTTCTCCTTCTCAACCTGCGCCGACCCAGGGCGTCGGTCGCAAGAAGGAGGAAAACCCTTCTGCAGCCACTTCCCCAGGCACGGGGAGAAAGAAAAAGAGAGTCGCATCCTTTCAAGACGACAAGACGACGCCGTGAGTCATGCGAGACAAACATGCTGCTCCAGGAAATCATTAGGGATGAAATAAAGTTACTTTGCAACGTGGAACACCAATCTCCAACCAAATGAATGTTTCAGCAACCTAGGTTGGAGGCCATCGCTCTTAGGTTGGAGGCCTTCGCAATCACCATTGATAGCGACGGCCTCCAACCAAAAGAAACCACTGAGTCCGAGGCTTTGGACCTACCAGGTGCCCTCATTCTACCATCCAAGTGGTCCCCCATTTGGGCCAAGAACAGTGATGGGTTTCGGTACACTGGCCCGTAGTGGCTGAAAAAAAGAAACACCAACACTCTGGGCACATGGGGCTAAGTGGTCCATGCCTAGTGAAATCCCCACTGGCTCAGTCATAGTGGGCAGTGGGAAATATAAGAAACATATGGAAAAATATGGACAAAACTAATGGAAAAAACTCTACTCTTCTCGGAAAATCCCCACTGCCTTCCAACTTCCTCTCAAATTCCTCTCTTTCGATCCACGTCTCCCGCCTTGGCCGAGTCCAAGGCCACCTCGGCCTGTTGCCAGGCCTGGGCCTCCGCCGAACGCACCCGCTCCGCCTGCGCGAGCGGGACCCGCGGGTCCGCCCGTCTGGTGAATGAAATCTCATTCAACACGGTTCTGTAGGGACTTTGTTCATCTTCATTCAAGTTCATCCCGACCGACCGAGGAAATCGCTGGGGATCGTAGCTTGGACGCTTCTCCACCGAACCCTGTATCTCCGTGGCCACGTTTCGCCACGGCCACGGCCACGTTTCGTCAGTTTCACATTCCGAAGTTCAGGACTAGTTCTTCAACTATTGAGATTAAGCCAAAGAACGTAACTAGTTGGCTTAAAGTGTGTTCGGTTGATCTATTGATGTTGATGAAGATGAAGAAGACCTTGAATCATCTTTAATCCGTGTTCTTGCAACCAATCCTTTTGGCCACACTCCGCTCCTTCCTCCTGCCTCCTTCTGCTTCTTCACTGCCTAGCTCTCGGGCAGCATTCGGTCGCCCAAAACGCCCAAGCAAACGCTGAAGGGAGAAGCTCACCCTTTCCTTACACTAAGAAGAATGTGTTTTTACCTGGCAAAGAAGTTTCATGTATCTTTCACGGGCATTTCTCCCAGTTTTCTTGACAGCCTGGCAAAATACATGAGACCCAGACAGGGCCCTTCTTGACACTCTGCCAAAGCAGTGGGTGGGATGGGTCTTGTACTCCTTATCGAAGGCACCTCTGTTTCCGTTACCTTCATCCAGACTCCTTCTCAACTGTTACTATTCCCACCCGTTCCAGTGTTCATGTACCAAGCGCTGATTCATGGGAAACATCAAGATCTCTTGGAGAACTGCCTCGATCGCTGGCAGTAAATGCTGTTGGCCGTGTCCGATGGGTGTGCATTGGGATAGGGAGACCCCCGAGAAATCCCCTGGAAGAATGCAAATAGACCACAACTCAACCCCTTGGTGGAAAGTTTCCCCATGAACATACAAACCCCTTCAGCTTCGGACTCAAGCCCCAAATGGTTTGCCTCGGCCTTTCTCGCACATGCCTTATTGTTTTCAACCTTACTTCCATGCCCTCTCAAACCTCAAAGTTCTCAAAGCACTTCGCCCTGGCACTTTACTCCACACTCTGGCAAGGCTGTGGGAAAGATATTGCTTCTTTCACACCATTCTTGGTTGGTGATGTGAAAATGGCCTACGACTCTTCTCGGGATCAGAGCACCCTCCGTGCTCGGGGACCGCGTTGATCCCGGTTCCGCTTTCCGAACCGCGCGAAGTCCTGCGCGAACCGCGAAGCCTGAGCTGCAGCCTCTCTGGCCGCTTCGCCCATGGCCTGAGCTTGCCGCGTTCGCGATCGATGGATGTGCCCCGTCGGAGGATCGGGTTCGGCGGCCAGTCGGGGGTGGTTGGGGCGGGGTCGGGGCTCGTCGGTACTTCGCCAGCTGGGCAGTATCAAAGGACGAAGTGGGGCCGCTGGTTCAATAAACCTTGATCTACAATCCACTGGCATGGGTCGAACGGTGACCATTGGACTTCTTCGACCAACAATCCAGCTCGCATGTCACGAATTATGACCCTTACACTGTCCTGCAAGCTCCAAACATGGCTAAGTCTCCAAGTCATGAGTTCACCAATCCTCAAATGAGCCAAAATACATCCAAATACTAGCCATTCCGCTTTCCCGCTGTCGTCACTCTTCACCCACCCACCTCCGCTTTCGCTAGCTTCTCCTTCAGCTCCGGCACCTGCGATCCCGCCAGAAACCCCGTCGGGAGACTCCGTCGGGGGGCGGGGGGTGTCCTGTTCGACGGTTCGGCGCTGGGTTGGACACGACGAAGGGCCTTGAGGGCCCCTCTAATCGACCAAACAAAAAAGTAAAAAATAAAAATAGTAACATGTCTTGCACAAGTCACCAGTTCGCGGTTGTTTGTCCGATGCAAGTGGTCGTTCTTTTCTTAGTAAAAGGCCAACTATGAGAAGGTGGTCAGGAGTCTGGTAAACGAGACCTTTTGAAGCCCCCTTGAACTGGATTCGTTCCGGAACCACGCTTTATATCGACTCGAACGAATCGAAACATGTTGCCTGCACTGCTTCTGCTTTGAGACTGTCAATCTCATGGCGCTGCTGCTCCGCGGCAGAACCAGCTGCAGCACTTTGCGCCTGCAACCAAAAACATCAGCTGGGGCAACAATGGGGAATCTCCCCCTACACCCCAACCCAAAGCATTCCGGCAAAGCAGCAACATCATTCATGTATAGCATTCTCAAGATTCTGTCCTCCAACAAAATGTGTGAATTTCTCTTGAGTGAGCAGGAACTTCATGTCCGTCCCCAATCTACTCCAATTCGTTGCATGGCTTAACCTTGGAACATCCCTAGTTGCCACGTCCACCGAGAACACGACTACGTCCCGCAAAACCGGGGAACGCGTTCCGGAGTTCCGCCTCTAGCTCCGCCAGCTTCTCCCGCAATGGAGGCACCTCCAGCCACGAGACCGGAAGAAGTGGGGCCACAGACTTGGGAGTCCTCGAACCGATGGATGTTGCGATTTTGCTGCATCTACACAAGCCTGTGTCGGGGCATGCCTCCCCAGCTGCATCATCAACCAATGGGTAAAAAAGTCTATCTTTAAACAAAGGAGGTCTCGGTGAAGTCATTCTATACTCGAAAAAATCTGATAGCTTAGCCGCCTGTGTTTCTGGGCGGAGAATTCCAGTTTATGGGCCACGCCGCTGGTTGATGAAAAGAATCCCCACCTGCGCTGCTTCCGCTTTGAGGCGCTCTATGTCTTGCTGGTATTGCTCACCAGCAGCAGAAGCAGAGGCGCTCTGCGCCTGCCGCAGATCAAGACGCACACTTTTTACAGAAGCTGGAACCTCTCAAGGGCAGCCTCCACTTCAGCAAGCTTGTCTCTGAGCTGCTGTACCTGCAAGACGAAAACAATGCTGTCACTTCTTCAACGAGTCTCTGCCTGCAAAGCTTCTGCAAAGCGACTGTCGATCTTGTGAGGCTGGGGATCCCCACCATGGCATCACTTGAAGCACTCTGGGCCTGTGACAAGCAAAACAAATCTCAAACAACAACAGATTTATCATGATTTATCTGATTGACTTGGGTGCAACCTCATCTGGATGAAACAATGCCACAAGAAAATCAGGTTGAAATCCAAACCTGCAACTGACCAGCCCAACTTGACAGGCCTCAACTTCCGCCAGTGTTTCGCGCAGTTGAAGCACCTTGAGATTAATGAGATGAAGACTGCAGCTGCTCCAACAAGCTAAAAGAAACAAACCCACCTGGGCTGCCTCCGCTTTGAGGTGCTCTATCTCTTGCTGGTGTTGCTCCGCAGCACCAGCAGAGGCAGCACTTTGAGCCTCTGTGCTCTCAAATGTTGAAGAAGGATTTCAAGCGAGGGGTGGTGAGACAGTGTCATGTTGGCACAAATGCGAATGTGTTTTACTCAATTCCTCAAACAATCCGGATGGCCTCCAGTTCAGCAAGTTTGTCGCGGAGCTGCTGCACCTTCAACACACACGTCACATCAACATCATGAGCTGGAACACTCACATCATCTGAGGCCGTCAAGCTTACAATAACCAGCTGTAACAGGCAGATAGACTCGCAACAAACCTTTTGCCTTCTTACAATCACCTGCTGGCAAAGACACATCTCTAGAGATTCCGTGTTGAGAAGCCAGCAATCAATGCTTGCAACAAATCGATTGCCTGCGCTGCTTCTGCTCTGAGACTCTCCAGTTCCTGCAGATGCTGCTCTGCTGCGGAATTAGCTGAAGCAGTGGCTGAAGCACTTTGGGCCTGCGAAAAAGCACAGCAAAGTTCACAGATTCACAAACAACCATGTTTTGTGATTGACTTTAACAACCTCGCCGGTATGCGACGTAGCTTCTACCTCTATACTGTAGGCAACTGACCAACGGGCCAACGGATGCTTGGACTGGCCTCAACTTCAGCAAGCTTCTCCCGCAGTTGAGGTACCTGGTGATGCAAGAGGTGGACACTCCAAAAGCAAGCTCGAGCTGACACTCTTTCGAAATGCATTTGATCAGAAGCACAATCCCACCTGCGCCGCTTCCTCTTTTAGCCGCTCAATCTCCAGCCGATATTGCTCTGCGGCGACATCAGCATCAGCAGAGGCAGCACATTTTGCCTTGCAATAGTACAAACGTCAACTTGATGCGCTAAAAGTTGCAGTCAGAACAAGCCAAAGCAGGAAGAAAGGAATATACCCTGGCTGTTCATACCCAGCAAAAGACTTTAAGCAGCTATGTAAACCTTTTGGGCGTTCTGCAATTAGTTGTGCACAAGAGTGTTGAAATGCTGACGTGGCCAGTTCCATGAAAACCTCTGCATTGGTGCTTTTTGCGCACATGTGTTTTGTGTCATCAAGCAACCTGAAGGGCCTCAAGTTCTGCAAGCTGGTCTTTGAGCTGCTGCACCTACAACAACAACCCGCACATTTCACATCACTATGAAATCACCTGCTGGCAAAGACACATCTCTAGAGATTCCGTGTTGAGAAGCCAGCAATCAATGCTTGCAACAAATCGGTTGCCTGCGCTGCTTCTGCTCTGAGACTCTCCAGTTCCTGCTGGTGCTGCTCTGCTGCGGAATTAGCTGAAGCAGTGGCTGAAGCACTTTGGGCCTGCGAAAAGCACAGCAAAGTTCACATATTCACAAACAACCATGCTTTGCGATTGACTTTAACAACCTCGCCGGTATGCAACGTAGCTTCTACCTGTATGCTGTAGGCAACTGACCAACGGGCCAACGGATGCTTGGACTGGCCTCAACTTCAGCAAGCTTCTCCCGCAGCTGAGGTACCTGGTGATGCAAGTGGTGGAGAAGCTCAGCTTTTGGTATTGCAGAAGCCCTTTCGATATGCATTTGATCAGAAGCACAATCCCACCTGCGCCGCTTCTTCTTTCAGCTGCTCAATCTCCAGCCGATATTGCTCTGCGGCGACATCAGCATCAGCAGAGGCAGCACTTTGAGCCTTGCAATAGTAAAAACTTCAGCTTATTGATGCGCCAAAAGTTGCAGACAGAAAGAGCCAAAGCAGGAAGAAAGGAATATACCCTGGCTGTTCATACCCAGCAAAAGACTTTAAGCAGTTATGTAAACCTGGTGGACGTAAACCTTTTGGACGTTCTGCAATTAGTTTTGCACAAGAGTGTTGAAATGCTGATGTGGCCAATTCCATAAAAATCTCTGCATTGGTGGCTTTTACGCACATGTGCTTTGTGTCATCAAGCAATCTGAAGGGCCTCAAGTTCTGCAAGCTGGTCTTTGAGTTGCTGCACCTACTACAACAACAACAACAACAACAACCCGCACATTTCACATCACTATGAAATCACCTGCTGGCAAAGACACACTTCTAGAGATTCCGTGTTGAGAAGCCAGCAATCAATGCTTGCAACAATTCGATTGCCTGCGCTGCTTCTGCTCTGAGACTCTCCAGTTCCTGCTGATGCTGCTCTGCTGCGGCATTAGCTGAAGCAGTGGCTGAAGAACTTTGGGCCTGCGAAAAGCATAGCAAAGTTCACAAACAACAAAAATTATCTGATTGACTTTAGCAACCTCGCCGGTATGCGACGTAGCTTCTTCCTGTAGGCTGACCAGCGGACCAACGGATGCTTGGACTAGCCTCAACTTCAGCAAGCTTCTGGCGCAGTTGAGGTACCTGGTGATGCAAGAGGTGGAGAATCAAAAAGCAAGCTCAGCTTTCGGTATTGCAGAAGCCCTTTCGATATGCATTTGATCAGAAGCACACACCATCCCACCTGCGCCGCTTCTTCTTTCAGCCGCTCAATCTCCAGCCGATATTGCTCTGCGGCGACATCAGCATCAGCAGAGGCAGCACTTTGAGCCTTGGAATGCTGAACACAAACTCCAGCCCGATGCAACGATGGGAACAGACTTGCACAATAGAAGGACCCAGAGCAGCAAGAAAGTCTGGCTGTTGATACTCAGCAAAACACTTACTCCGGCCAAAGCCATGAAAGTCTTTGCATGGGTGGTTCTACAGGCTTGTGTTGTGTCTATGTGTGTCATCAAGCAATCGGAATGGCTTCAAGTTCTGCAAGCTTGTCTTTGAGCTGCTGCACCTACAACAACTACGTGAATCTCATGTCACCATCAACTGCTGGCAAAACAACATCTCTAGAGATTTGGTGTTGAGAGGCCAGCAATAAACTCTGCGAACGAAACTCGCCTGTGCTGCTTCTGCTCTGAGACTATGCAGCTCTTGCTCATGTTGCTCTGCTGCAGCTCTGGCTGAAGCACTTTGGGCCTGCTGCTCAGTGCTCAGCAAAACAAATCTCATCAAAAATGGCACGCAGAGGCTTCATGAAGTCTAAGTTGATTGGTACAACCTCTGTATTGAATGCAGCTTTGCCTGCAATTCACCAGCGGACACTTGGACTGGCCTCAACTTCTGCAAGCTTTTCGCGCAGTTGAGGTACCTGGTGATGCAGAGGTGGAGAATCCAAAAGCAAGCTCAGCTTTTTGGTATTGTAGACACCCTTTCGAAATGCATCTGCTCCGAAACAGAATCCCACCTGCGCCGCTTCTTCTTTCAGCCGCTCAATCTCCAGCCGATATTGCTCTGCGGCGACATCAGCATCAGCAGAGGCAGCACTTTGAGCCTTGGAATGCTGAACACAAACTCCAACCCGATGCAACGATGGGAACAGAGTTGCACAACAGAAGGACCCAGAGCAGCAAGAAAGTCTGGCTGTTGATACCCAGCAAAATACTTACTCCGGCCAAAGCCATGAAAGTCTTTGCATGGGTGGTTCTACAGGCTTGTGTTGTGTCTATGTGTGTCATCAAGCAATTGGAATGGCCTCAAGTTCTGCAAGCTTGTCTTTGAGCTGCTGCACCTACAACAACTACGTGAATCTCATGTCACCATCAACTGCTGGCAAAACAACATCTCTAGAGATTTGGTGTTGAGAGGCCAGCAATAAACTCTGCGAACGAAACTCGCCTGTGCTGCTTCTGCTCTGAGACTATGCAGCTCTTGCTCATGTTGCTCTGCTGCAGCTCTGGCTGAAGCACTTTGGGCCTGCTGCTCAGTGCTCAGCAAAACAAATCTCATCAAAAATGGCACGCAGAGGCTTCATGAAGTCTAAGTTGATTGGTACAACCTCTGTATTGAATGCAGCTTTGCCTGCAATTCACCAGCGGACACTTGGACTGGCCTCAACTTCTGCAAGCTTTTCTCGCAGTTGAGGTACCTGGTGACGCAAGAGGTGGAGAATCCAATGTAAGCTCAGCTTTTGGTATTGTAGACACCCTTTCGACGCGAAATGCATCTGCTCCGAAACAGAATCCCACCTGCGCCGCTTCTTCATTCAGCCGCTCAATCTCCAGCCGATATTGCTCTGCGGCGACATCAGCATCAGCAGAGGCAGCACGTTGAGCCTTGGAATGCTGAACACAAACTCCAACCCGATGCAACGATGGGAACAGAGTTGCACAATAGGAGGACCTAGAGCAGCAAGAAAGTC